CCCCGGGTCATTCACATGCAAATGAGCGGCGCTCACACACGCCGCCCGCCCATTGGCCGCCGCGCCGACGTCACCGCTATGCAAATGAGCGGCTCGGCTCCCGATTGGCGGGGGGCGGCGGCGCCAGCCATTGGCTGCTCCCCCGCCCCCCCCCGCAGCCGCGCGAGGGGGGGCCGCTCAGCTCGGGTCCTGGTGCGCCCCGCCGCGCCCCTCACCCGGGCCTCGGGGCACGGCAGGACACGGGGTCACGTGGGCCGGCCGGGCACGCGCCTGTGCACGTCTGACACGCCCGCACACACTCGTGTGCACTTCTAACACGCTCACTCGTGCTCCACACACACTCGTGTGCACATTTAACACCCTCACTGACGCTCCACAGACCCACTTGTGTGCACTTCTAACACACTCGCTCATGCTCCACCCACACTCGTGTGCATGTCTGACACTCACTCACCGCACACACTCCTGTGCACATCTACCACGCTGGCTCACACTCCACACATACGCTCGTGCGCACTTCTAACACGCTCGCTCATGCTCCACACACACTCGTGTGCATGTCTGACACTCACTCACCGCACACACTCCTGTGCACATCTACCACGCTGGCTCACACTCCACACATACGCTCGTGCGCACTTCTAACACGCTCGCTCATGCTCCACACACACTCGTGTGCACCTTTAACACGCTCACTCACCGCACACACTCCTGTGCACATCTACCACGCTGGCTCACACTCCACACATACGCTCGTGCGCACTTCTAACACGCTCGCTCATGCTCCACACACACTCGTGTGCACACTTAACACGCTCGCTCACGCTCCACACACCCACTCGTGTGCACTTCTAACACACTCGCTCATGCTCCACACACACTCGTGTGCACATTTAACACGCTCACTCACGCTCCACACACACTCGTATGCATGTCTGACACTCACCACACACACTCCTGTGCACATCTACCACGCTGGCTCACACTCCACACACACGCTCGTGTGCACTTCTAACACACTCGCTCAGGCTCCACACACACTCGTGTGCACACTTAACACGCTCGCTCACGCTCCACACACCCACTCGTGTGCACTTCTAACACACTCGCTCATGCTCCACACACACTCCTGTGCACTTCTAACACACTCGCTCAGGCTCCACACACACTCGTGTGCACATTTAACACGCTCGCTCACGCTCCACACACCCACTCGTGTGCACTTCTAACATTCACGCACCCCAAACTCCCGCAGCTGACACACTCACAGCAGTGTGTGCTACCCAGCCACGCTTGCCTGCACTTCAACCACACTCCCACCCAGGCCTCCCACTGATGCTCCTGGTGGGCATAAAATGCTTATATGTTCTCACACAAATACCTGCATTTACACGCACACACAGGCACTGACACACGCACAGAGCGGTGTGCACTAGCATGTTTTCACACACAGCTGTGCACGCTCACTCACACAGAGCTGTGCATATGTACACACACGTGGGCATGTTGACACTGACACACACATGCATTCCCTCTCGCTCACACAGCTGGGCATGCTGACACGCTCACACACAGACTTGGAGACACACACACCCCGCGCTCTCACACCTACACACTGACACATCTGGCTATGCTGACACACAACCACTCTACCACACACACCCACACGCTCCCAGGGGCCCTGGCTGCCCGCCGACCACTCGCTGGGGGCCCAGCTGCATTCTTGGGATACGCTCCCCACGCACCCGGGGGCGGGGGGAGGCGCCGGCCCTGCCAGGGAGGCCGTGGCCCCCACGTCCTGGGGCCCTGCCAACCCAGGACCCGTGCGCACTCCCCACATAGGCTGCTGGGCCTGGTAAGAGTCAACACAGCCTCTGCCCACACCCCGGGCAGGCAGTCCCCCATCCCCCGGGTCAATAGGGAGGGGGCGGAGAGAGTCCAGCAACCCCACCCCACCCAGCCCCGGGCTGAGAGCTCATGTGGGGGGAGGCGCAAACACACAACACACATGTGAGAGAGAACCACCACCCCAAAACACACACACACACACACACACAGCAAGCAAGAGACACACAAACACCCAAACACCCCCCACCAGCACCCACAGACACACCAGAGAGACACCCACACAGAGAGAGACACGACTGTACAGTAGGCGATATATGCACACGCACCTACACCCCACAAAAGAGACAAGATACACTGAGAGGGACGCACACACACCAATGCACTGGAACATCACACTACGCACAGCTGCAGTTTAACACACTCGGACACGTAGAGCAGAGACACAACAAGAGCAAGACAGTTACCAACGCGACAACACACCCAAAGAATAAGAACACGCACCCCCTGGACAGAAACAAACCCACACGCCACACAGCCAGCAGGAGACAGCCCACAACACACACAGAACCACCCACAATGTACAACGTGTAACACACACACACACAGCAGGACTTGGCCCCTCCAGCAGGGGGCGGCAGGGATACATAGGCTTGGGGTCCCCCTCCCCCCACACAGTTCTGGAGGGCAGAGACGGGGGATGGCCCTTGGGACGTTCCAGTGGCCACCAGGGACACATCTTGCAGCCAGGGGCCCCCTAAGAACACTGGGGGGGAGCGACCTGATCATGAGGGCACGAAAGGAACTAGGGGGCAGCCTGTCCACCCTCCCCCACCCTGGGGCAACCCTGCCCCACACAGGAAGGATGTGGGTCTCCCTGGCAACCCCCGACACCCCCCCCCAGAAAGCAGCAGCCGTTGCCAAGGACTCCATGGGGTCTCCAGGGCGACCCAGAGCCCAAGTACCCCCCCAGCAATGCCAGTGTGAGCATGCAAGATGCCCCCCCCAGGGGAGGCGAACATGCAGAAGCAGACAACAGTGAATGGGGGAGGGAGGGAGTGCAAAGGAGTGCGAGATGGCAGGTGAACGTGCGATGCGTGCGAAGCTGCCCGGGCACGGCTGCGCCAGAGACACCCAGCGCCACCGGGCCCTGTGCGTGTGAGCAGCTGCTCCAGCCCAGCGAGCGTGGCGCTGTGGCTGAGGGCTGGTGTGAGCCTGCACCCCCTCCCCCCCAGGGCTGTGACTAAGGTGAGGGGGTCTGTGAAACATTCTGTCCATGCAAATGACACGTGAACCGGGCGTAACACACTTGTGTTCATGAGTGTGCTCCGTGTAAGTATGTCATGTGTGCAACTGCTTTGGTGCACATCTGTGCCAGCCACACGTGCGCTGGGGAGAGATTGGGGAGCTGGAGAGGCCGGCTTTGTCATGTCCCCTGAACTCGTGCAACCCCATCGCACGCCCACTTGCACACCCACCCCACTCGCTCCAATATAAATAGAGACAGGGCTGGAAGCACAGGGAGATGGTCGCTCTGGTTACCGGTTGCCAGGAGACGGCAAACTACATCCCCACTCCTGCAGGGATGGTGATGGGAGGGGAGCGCGTGAGCTGCCCGTTCACACCCACACCCCTGGGGCAGGGAGCTGGGCCCCGGCTCAGTGCGACAGCGAGTGTGTGAACCCTGCACTGGGAACCCCAGACCTGTGCAAGAATGAGCATATGAGAGGGCTAGTGTGCGAGCCCCTGGTGCAAACGCTGCCCCAAGAGCCCCAGGCTATGCAAAATTGAGCGTGCGAGTCCCACATGCAAGCCCTGCCCCAGAGATCCAGGCCTGGGTAAGAACAAGCGTGCAAGAGAAAAAGCCCCATGGAGAATCACCGAGGCACCCCACCACAGCCTAGGCGAGCGAGCGTGGCCAGCACCGGACAGTGGGGGCGGGTGCCAGCAGGGGTTGTTGGCAGCCACGTGGGGAACCTGAGCCCCCAGGGCCAGTCAGCGTGAGACACACACACACACACAGCGTCCCCTTCAGGGCACGGGCATCTCTCACACACCCACACACCCAGGGCTCTGCACGTTCAGCATCACACGCAGCCACGTTCCTCCCATCCCACCCACTGACCCCAGACCCCGTCCCCAGCCAGAGGGCGTGGGGGGGGGGGTTTGCCTTTTAGGCTGAACTAGGTTAGAGATCGATGTCGAGAGCTGAGCTGAGCCCACAGACTAGGCACAACTCCTAACCCGGCATCCCTCACCCAGGGCTGAGATGCGGCCACCTCTGGGGTGGGGC